TCATCAACATCATCAACATCAACAACAACCTCATCATCAACATCATCCACATCTTCAACAACATCAACAACTACAACCACGACTACTACTTCATCATCAACATCGTCAACATCAACAACAACAACATCAACCACTTCATTATCAACATCGTCATCAACATCATCCACATCGTCAACAACATCAACCACAACAACAAAAACTACTACTTCATCATCAACATCATCCACATCGTCCACAACATCAACAACATCAGCAACAACAACAACAACAGCCGGTCAGTAATATGCTAGATAATGTGTTGTACTTTTTTGCAAGTTTTAACCGATGATTTGTTCCACTAACCAAATTTAAAAGTTTGAGAGTTTATCTTTTAAAGATCTCTCATTTCGATTAACAAATGACACTTGCCTAGAGATTCACTCAAGTGTCTCTTGTAGAAGCTTTATTTCTTGACATAATATATTCTAATCATTATGTTGTTAGTACAGACCTCCGCTGCGAGAACCGACATTCAGAAAAATTGACGTTGATTCGGATATAGCATTGACGATTACTTTTTTTTAGAAAAAGCTGCCAATAGTAAAATAGCACTATAGTATAGTAGTATAACGACGATTTTGGCAGCGTGAACTGAGCCTCATTATTGTTGCTTTTCTCTTGGTTACTCCTCGCCGGCCAGCATATAGCCGCGTTCACCTGCGTCTCTCATTTTTTCTCTCGAAATGATTTTCGATCGATCAGTAGGAGGCTGCACGGAGTCTATTAGATGCTGTGTTAATAAACCAGGCTAAGCACTAGAAGTTTTATTGATTGTGACGTCTGTTCTTCCACAGTCAACATTGGTAGAGACTTATTTTTGTATGTATGAAGTGTCGAGAGATTAGTAGTTGAATCTGAAAAGTACGTTCATTTGTAGGATAACTATTGAAGAACACAACTTATAATAAATAAAACGTGTAGTGCTTAGTTCCGTTTAATAATACAACATTTAGTAGACTCTGATGTAATTCCGATTTTAACTCCGTGCATACCTTTGTCAAACACTAAAAAACAAAACCACAGTAGCCGAAACGGATAACTTATTTTTGTTGAGCTGTTCTTGACAAGAACGAGAATAGGATGTGAGTGCACAGATAATTGTAAAATACTTGAAAAATAGAATTTAGAATTTCGTAAAAATATTGTTGGTTTATGTGGCACAGAATTATCATATTGTTTATAGAATTCCATATTATAATGCAACTTAGAAAAAGGAATGACCTATATGCTGAAATGAAATTGTGAACAAATGTACGGCATTCCGAATTCTGCTTGGAAAGTATTCTGCACCCTCTTAGCCGAGGATATTATAAAATTTTATTAAAGGGAGCGCAAGTTTTAAGTAAAGTGCGATGACTTCGTTGATTTCTCAAATTTACGTGAACGTTTCACGGAGAAATGGTCAGAATGGCTGAAAACTGATTTTAGTTACACTCTAGAATATCTGAAATTGGCCAAAACTCAGTAATATAATGTTTTCGAATAAATTATGTTCAATTAAGTTAAACTCTTTATAATTGAATAAAATACAATGATTGAATAATGCCTAATACCAGTACAGATGTGAGAGCAAACTTTTTTGTATTTAATAGCCTGCAACTTTTTTCTTAATCAAACCACTTACCCAGTTGGTACTTATTCATATTCAGTAGCAGCCGTCGATGTGAATAGCGACAATAAACCCGATATTATTGTTCCAGGCAGAGATTCGAATAACGTCGGCGTTCTTCTCAATGCAGGCAACGGCACCTTTTATAAT